TCAAAGCAGCACGTCGTCTGCTAAAGGATCTTAAACCTATCCGTACGCCCTGCGGTCATTTTGTACCCCTGGTGTTGTATTCTTCACATTTTAGAAAACTTCTTGGCCGAAGATCTCTTTGAAACTTTCAGTATTTCTCAAAAAATCGTTTTGACAGACTGCTATGCAAAGCGTAAGGATCATATTAACGAGTAAATTTCCTCTTTGAAAGTGGTGGCACAGTCGAATTCCCCGCATCGTTTGGATATGACAGTAAAACACAACGTACGGAATAGGGTTAATCTTTACTGCGTTCATCTGGGCGTAATTCATTAACAATAATTTCTGCAGGTCTTTAAAATATTTATTTAAGGTAGTCCACATTTTCTTCTGCGATTCGTATTCAACACAAACCATTCAAGTACACGTTGACTACATTGTAAATATGTATCCACCAAGTGCTTGAAGCCATGTGAGATTAGTATCCCTCTATACAAATGATCACCAATTTTATTTTGTTTTTCTGTTTGTGTTCGTACAACTAAGAGTTTTGCGGTAGTTCGTCGAGCGGTCTCTTTGACAGAAGTTTTGTTTTCTCGACATGTGTGTTAATGTTATGCAGACAGCAATTACGTGTAGTTCTTTTTAGAAGATAGCTTTAGTGTTGAAGGAGGAAAAGAAATGTACAGACACGATAACCATTACAAAGATTATAATCTATACATGTTACCATTGGGTTGCCCCCCCCCCCCCCTTTTTTTCTTTCTTATCTTTCGATAAAATCACTCAGTCGTGCACTACATGTACTTAAAGTTGGTTATTAAAAAATGTGAAATATGTGGAGTTGTGCCCGAGAAACGGCAGAAAACGACATAAGCGATGAGGTTTGAGAAGTAGGCCTACAGCTGGCTCATAGTCATATATAGTAATCTCCTATCGGGAAAAGTGCGCTCAAATTGACCAACTGTGTGAACAGCTTATTCCATTTGTATGGCTCTTTTTTGTCTATGCCGACGGTCAATTTAGCTTAAGATGGTCTCAAGATTGTCTTCATACAGCTTCTTTCATGGCTAATGTTTCCTATGTTTGAAGAGCAGATTCTGTGGCACTGCTTGCATACAGTGAAGTGGATCGAAGCTCTGTATTTCCGCCGTTTTCCTTTCGTCGTTGGCACTTCTCAGCCTGGTTGTTTCTAAGGCTGCTCTCAAGCATTATAGTTCTTTCCTTTTTCATTTTCCTCCATGTTTCCCTGTCCTCAGCTATTTCTTCGAAGAGGCTAACATCTACTCCAAGCTTAAATAATTTGCAGGTGTCTTTGTACCTCAAATTTGGTCTTCCCCTTGGTCTCTTTCCATGGGCAAGTTCTCCATAGAGAGAAGTTGCTTCGGAATCTGGTTGTCGTCCATTCTCTTGACATGCCACAGCCATCTCAATCTTTTTAAACACAGGATAGTTGTCACGCTGTTCCATTTAAGCGATTAAAAAAAGGGTACCACTTTTTGACTGTGCGTAAAATCTATAACATTGTGATGAGAGTACAGGTACAAGTTTAGTATGATCAGTCACGTGAGGTGAAAGGAAAAGAAAGTAGATTTCATTCAAAATCAAAAACTGAGTGGTACATCTTTTTAATCACCAGATGCCTTGATCTACATGATGAAAACGTGCGCACATGTGACACAAGTTTGATCAAGTCAACTCAATTCTGCTCAAGCGTCAAAAATAAAACCAAAAAAAACACATACAAGGGCAATAATTCAAAATATGTTATACATTCATCTCATATTATCAAGATTAACTCCCTTGTACTGAAAAACTCGCTCTCATCTACTGGTCGTAGAAATAATTTAATTTAATACAGGGGTTTGAACAAATCTTATGTAAATCTGCTTCCAAATTACGAATGGATTGCGATCAAAATGTTCCTCTTTTTATCAAGAAGTTACATTCTGCTTTACAATGTATTAATAGCCCTATACAAAAAAAAAAAAAAAAAAACATTTCTCTTTTTTAATTGAAAAAAAAAATTATATTTCTGTGTCACATTCATCTTATGTACAAATGCACATCAAAATTACTTAAAATTTACAATTACACTCGCATGTACAAAAGTCAGTCATGGTCTATATTGCACTGCTTCAAAGCATTCTGCAAGCAAAGTATTATATTACAGAATAATTAACTGTCATGCAAAAAAGAGGCTCTGCTTTTTTTCTTTTTTCTTTTTTTAACCTTAAAAAAGTAGCAACGTCTCTGATCAACATTATACTTATCACAGAAATGCAAAAAATCCCAATTTTAACTGGCAACACACATGTATAAATACAAATATAGGCCTATATACATATATATATGATGTATGTGTGTGTGTGTGTCTGTGTGTGTGTGTGCGCGTGTGTGCGTCATGTGTGTGTGTGTGTGTCTGAGTGTGTGTGTGTGTGTAAGTGTGTGTGCGCATGTGTGTGTGTTTACATAGATGCAATATATATATGTATGT